CCTGCATCAATTCTAGATATTCTGGAATCCTTATGATGCTCTGTTTCAGAGGGAGGCTAATAACTCACAACGATCCCAAGAAGCGAATATGACATTTCACGCTGATCATACAGTTTTCCTCATTCAAGACATACTTTGCAGTTTATATATGGGCGAAGTAGTTGATAGCTGATCGAGCTTATTTTCAGTTCCATTGCTTTGGAGGTGGGACACAAAATCTGAATGATATGTCGGATTCTTTTTGAAGCAAGCGCGTTTGTGTGTTAAACGTTTTCACGAATCATCTTCAATCTCACCGAGTACCGTTGGCTGTTAGAAAATTAAATTGGCTATGAGTTTCGAGTTTACAGATCTACTTGCTGTTGAAACATAGAATGAATGAGCATAACATCAAAATAAATAGCCTCTGACAATCAATAATGGGTTCAGTTGAAGCTGAATTCTTGTGAGACCAATCCATCATTGTCAGCTGTTGGACACGCGTCTGACCGAAATGTAGACCCAAGTGATTTATGTAGGGATGTTGTGACCACATCTGCAAAATTAAACTTCTGTTCAATCCGGTCAATAGATGTAAGCTAGTTGACTAACACTAGTTCAACCAATGAACACCAGTAACTGCTTGAGGTCTTAACGATGACTGAAGTCGAGTACATTTTTCGAACTTGAAAGCTTTATCTTGGGCTGAAAATGCGCGCGATTATTTATCAAAACTCGACACCTACGTATGATGACATAGGACATTCAAATAATTTTTTTGTTGAAGCGTTTGAATAAAATAGTTCTTCGGTATATGAAAGTCATATACAGCACGTCAGTGTAATAGGTTAGATTGTGTCTTTCCTTGCAAGGTATGTGGTTCTGGTATACCTGTTACATTTCGGCACTCAATAGTACCCTGCTTTACGCATAAAATATCTATAAGTTTCCTATTCTATTCCGGGCGCCTTTTGTTTAAAAAATCATCCGTTTCCTTGTTTAACTTTATTCGCGCCACTATCATCCTTTTAAAGAATGCCTGCTATTGAGAACTGTATTGTTTCTTCTCTCTCGCCGTATTTGCAACCAGTAGTTGCCTTTTGGAGTGATCAATTTATTAAATATTTGTTCAAGAAATCCTTCGTTTCTATCTTCCAAGAAGGTTTAACTTATGCATCATGTGGGTGCTCATCGCAGTGGCCGGTTCACCGAATCCTCACCAGGCTCTCATTTTTCAGTTTTAAGCTAAACGAATACGACGACAGCTGACATTTACACCAAAAGTATTACAAACACTTTCGAAAACGAAATGATTCCGATAAAAATTAGGTATTAAGCCAATGGAGGGCGAAATGAACTGAAACATATGCAGTTTATTCCTATGCAAAAGGCAACTGTGACAAGCAGCTTACTTTATTTTGGTGTATACTTTCATCCTAATGCGAATTATCTGAAGACTCATTTGAGAACGCATACCCCAATTTAGTGAAAATGCACGAGCATGACGAACGCTTCCTTTGGTGTTCAACAGGATTTTAGTAGGCACACTGTTTAGGCACCAAATAGATCTAAAACTCTGCAAAAAAGAATGCGTTCAAATGGTGAGCACTGTTACGATTTACCCGGTTAGCTTGTTTAAAAACAGAACCACAGACAATTACACGTTCAAGTCTTATGACTATACATTTGTTGAACAAAACGTATGTGCTGATGGTTGTTTCCAGTTACTGTACACGTCTACCTTTTTCATGTCATTATTAACCAGATAAGAGAGTTTGCAAGTAGTACCGAGTTAAGAAAAACATATATCCACCGGAGATGTTTGTGATAGTTGCAGGCAGTAGTCTCCAAATATGACACACGGACCAAGGCTTACCTACCTTCGTGAACAAAGTTCTAATCCACGAGACACCCAGACGTGGGGTAGAATCATTAAGTCCCATTTCGTGAACGACGTACGTAACCCACCTCACTCTCTAATATCTACCGAAAAGCCCTTGCAGTTTACGTTAGGATAATATAACCTTCTACATTTGTGTATTGTAATACCGATTTTTGGGCGCTTGTAGTTTTTTAAGGACAGAACTACATATCTACAGGATTTTTTCATGGCAGCGCATGGAATTTCATAAAATTTTGACGGCACTCTGCTAAGGGTAACATATTTGGATTTCAAATGACCACACATTCAACCCATGAGGTCCAGCTAATTGCAACCTAATTAAGTGAATGCAGTTGCTCTATGCTTCTTCAAAGTGCTTTTAGTGAGAAATACCAATCGCTTCACAGTGCAGAAAAGATGAGTGAGTCTTTTAGATTGGAATGATTCACAAGGCAGCGTTCGGAGTCAATCACGATAGAACATTTACGAATGAAAACATTGGCAAATGTCCCTCAGGTGGGATCATCCGAGATATGCTAGAATGTGACTAGTTCCATGTGGTGATTTTGATAAAATTAAAATGACAGCCAGGACACTTCTGAAAATAGACAGCGGTGCTGTTAACAGTACACTTTTGCAATTCGATATTAAGCTGGTCGAAGCACCAAAAAAATTCATTGGTTAAGATTCTTACAACAGATTTAGTAGGCAGAAATTAAACTGATTCTTTTATATTTGGCGAAAAAATAATGGCCTAACGTGGTATCTCAAGGTGACACCTGTGGTGAGGCTTACCTAGAAGTCGATTGTGTTGGTAATGAACTGCTTTCGGTATGGACACTGCTAGTGCAACTGCTTTGACTTGAAAGTTAAGCGCCTGACAAGACAGATGGTAATAGCATGTCTAGTGGCGCTGCTGCGACCGAAGGATTGAAGACCAGTTGTGATACCGTTCCCCTCAGCCAACCTAAACCCCACTGAAACATTTGACCTACCAAGGGAGGTTACAATGATTGACAGTAAGGCAGATGCAAAGACAAGATGAATGCGGATTCAGCTACCCTTGTCCAGTTCAATAGATCAGTAAACTGTAATGTGATTCATTGTAGCGACTTGTAGAGACGTGAAGTGTCGCTGGACTTTGGCAGTTTTAGAGTGAACCTGAAGAAATAGAGGGGCACTCAATTGTGTAATTGTTTTACTCATCAATGGTTGTCAGACCATGTTTAGAGTTCACACATGATTTGGAATGAAGCCCATGAGGCTCACAAAAAAGATTTGTCAGGATAACGAATAATAGAGGAACTCAAGAAATCATCACAGTGGTGCGTCTCCAATAGATGTTTCCGAGGTGCAATTAGGTTCAACCGTCTGTCCCATATCCTTCGGTAATCTTAGTTTGGAAAGAGCCTTTAACGAGAGTAAAACTTTCAAAACCCGATGGGTTGTATTGGTCGCCACAAAATCAGTAGGTTGTTGCTAGCGGGTAGCATTTTGGAGCAGCAAATGAAATGATTGATCTACTGATAGAACGAAAAAACCTGTATTTTCCCATTCAGCTGCTGGCAATCTGGCAAACTTCAACGGCATCAGAAAATCATTTTTGGATGCTGTTCCAATGAACTTGAAGAGGCAATTAAAGATAATTTTAACGTGAAACCACGGAGCACGTTATGTAACCTTTAGGCGGGAAGGACTGATGGGATCTAACCTAATAAGAAATTCGTCAGCCTAAAAGAAAAATGGAAGATGCAAATTGGAAGCAATTGAAGGATGGAAGATTTAAAACAACATGGAGCTGTTCTGCAACAGGATAACTTTAAGCTGGCGTGACTGCCTCAAAACTCCTGAAGCAGTCGTTTACATCGGAACCATGTTTCACCTAGACAAGTGGACATCTAAATTTTTCAGAACTATTAAAGATAGTTAAATGATTAAGGGATGCCAAAATGGACCAGGCTATTAAGTTATATCGTAGTGAGTAGTATTTTTGTTGTACTGAAATTTGTTATACTTTTAGCTTGAGATGGCCAACAAACTTACATAAGTGGAGAATAGAGTTAGTACCTTTAGAGTTAAAGCAAACTTGCACATTTTAAGAATGTTGCCGTGAACGTTTGTATCCTAGCACGACATCAATCGGCTGATAACGCCGCATCTTCAAAAAAGTAAGGGTTGTTACTTTGTGAGTCTCCAAATAAGGATGAAGTAGTTCTTCACTGCGTTTCGGTTTTCTCTTAACAAGAGATTTTGGCCGACAAAAGATAACTCCCCTAAAACTCCAAGAAATTTTCATTGCCTACAAATTCTATGCAATCAGTTCGGAAACCTTTAGACTCGTGTTTTCCATGTTGTGGTATGGACTAACAATTTAAAGGTGGCATCCCAGTACAGCCTACTTGCTAATAGATCACTCTAGTGATCAACCAGACACACGTAACCGTACCAGCCGAGTCTTGCGAGATTACATCCTTCTAAGGATTTGAAGTTCTCAATAAACCTGGGCGGTTCATTTGATGTTTTCGGGTTCCCAGTACAGTTTAGCTGTACTTGGTGGGTGGAATCTCCATTGATTTAAAGTAAATATCGGGCAATTCCATTCAGTAGGGGACTAGGGTGTTCTAAAGTACTGGTCCAGGCCTGTCTAGAATACCAGGACTTAAACTGCGTTTTTCTGTTGGCTGTTTACTTTGTTTACTGAAGGGCGTGCTTCAAAATATTAGCCGGAACGTTTCCGCCATTTACTGAAAAAAAGCAAGGGGTATTGGGTTACTGCAGTAATGTTAAATTAAAAGTCGTGTCAAACTAACTCAAACCACAAAGAATTTTATGCAGTCAGGTGCTTATTTACAGAACTTAAAGCAGGTATCACTTGTTAAACTTCGGACCACTTTGGACAATATCTGAAATGTGACTTTCATGCCTGTACACATATATCTGGATGGTTATTGGCGGTTAATGGATAAGTCTACGAAAACCTCTTCATTCCAAGCAGAGTATTTGGTGCATTTGTGCAAGAAGCTTCTATTTGTCCGCATAAGCAAGCAATTTTATTTTCGTACAATATTCTTATTATGCCTGAATGCCCTCAAGATTAACTAGTGTTCAAGTTAGGCCATTGTTTTCATCCACTTTTTAGCATAAATGCAGTGGAAACAGTTTTACTGTCACTAAAGTATGAACAAACTTCTATGCTGCCCGCAATTCCGCTCACGCACGCAAGCTACGTAAGTCAAGTGCCTTGTGTGATCAGACAGGCAACAGGAAACGTGGAAATTCAAATAATAGTATTCACATTATGTCGGTTACACAGTGTAAGGATCAAAATAGCAAACAAATCTAAAAAATGCCGCAGCTTTCAAGCTCGTAGAGGTTTATGGTTTACCAGATAAAAGCTGTTTTGAATGAAGTCACTAGTAGGAATGAGGTGAACCAACGAGTAAATCATTCTACTACTACATGTAAGTTCACCAATAGACTCCTTTCCCGCATACTGGATCCTGTAAAACAGACTCGGTAGGCTTTGAGGGACAGAATAATGAGGCAAACAACTTCGAATCCATGCTTTAATTTTTTCAGTCACCTATGATCAAGGAGGTGAGATATTCTTAAGAAAGAACGTATCACATGAATAAACAACTGTGCTGATCTCGTGAGTATCAGTCGTAAATTTCAATAAATTTAGAAAAAAATCCACTGTAATTCACCGGTGGTCAACAAAAAATTAAGTGCAAGAGAGGGTTTTGAATGCGTAGAAAGTTGGATCATGTACTCAATTATTCGGAAAAATCGGTTTTCCGATTTTGAGAGGAACCACAGAAGATGTCAGATATACTGCCATATCTGACTTTTAGATGCACGCGACAGAATTTCATTCCTGATGCTCACCAGATGATGCTTTCAAATCGGGAAACACTGTGGTGATTATTCTCTTCATGGGACGGATGCTATTTGAATATTGCGGATTAAGGTAAGGTTGATAGCAAATAATTTCAGTTGATGAGTGATGCCAACTGTTTTGAAGAAACAAATTACCCCGGTTGTTTTGAAAAAAAAGGAATAACTTATTTAGGACCTGTTGTATCTCTTCACCTGCCCTGACGCTACTGGGTTATAGTCAGAAGACAAGAAGACGACCTGAAGGAACTGTGTATTAACGCAATTACAAACTTCTATATATGTGATTCACTTGTCACCGTATTTGATGGTCGATCCGCTGTCAACCAACCAGTGTGTCTCCCACAGACCCACACCGGTCCTCGGGCGGTTGTTCCTTTGTCTCGATTGATCGTAGATGGCCGTCTATGTGCTTGTGTACGGGATGCCTTGGCCATGGAGTGGGTGTGAACATTCTGTGTCCTTATTTGACCTTTCTCCGGCACATGATGAAATCGGACGTGATTCCGACGTGGGGGCATAATCGCACGGCTCTGTTCCACATGATTGTTCCGCTGCGCAGTAGGCTGATGCGCAGCCGTATTAGGACCAAATCGACTGTCAGCTCAAAAACGTAAATGACAAGATACACGCGTATTTGTAGAGTGTATCACTAAAATTGCACGAATTCAGCAGAATAGCGAAAGTTTCTTTCATTGCTAATTTGGTGCATTTGTCATCTGGACGTTACATTAATGGATATCGAGCTCCTGATTTTCCCGAAATCTCCTAAAACTAGACTTCGAGTTCAACTCGCTTTCAGAAACAGAATTTTAGCGCACTTTTCCGAAGATATCTGCCAGCTTGTGGAGATGATTAATGTGTATTTATTCAGATGGCATGATGAGACCAAATCTTTTAGTCAGATTGTCGCATCCCTTCCTAGAAATATTTACAGTTTCTCTGACGGACATTTGTGATTGTCGTGCGAATTGAGCATGCGTTTAAGTTGGGCCTACTGTTGTCAAATGTGTTGCACAAGAAACAAAAATTTGGTGGCTGTTCAGATTTGGTCAAGGAGTGAATGTTTGATGCTTCATGCAGATACTAGAATGATATACGTACTATAGCCTTGGTTTCAGAGTCAAACGTGTTTGGGAAAACCAGCTTCTCTCATGATTTTTCTACTGTGTGACTTGAAGTGATCCTGATAATTAAACTACTCCTAACAGAAAAATCGTTTTAAATCTGAGGTGCTTTTAAATGTCACTAGTTACCTTGCTGATCGTACCCGACCCACTTTTTTTATCCGAACTCACTCTCAGACATCAACCCACTTCCTAAATGTAAACAGCTACAGAATTTTAGACGTGCTCCGTCCCCTTACTTTTTTTAAAAACGCAGGTAATAAATCTCGCATATTACTCTAAATTGACGTAAAACAAAGGTCATGCTGACAGCAATGGCAAAAATGTTTTCGGTTTTTAGCGCTACCCTTAATAGAAGTGGTTCATGGATCGGGTTTACTTCATTTAATGTTCCACAAAGCATATTTACCTACGTGAGTATTAACTCAAGATATCCCCTTCCAAGTTGTATAATTTATGAACCGATGTGTTGTAGGGTTCCCTGAAGGCCGAAGCGCAACCGCCGTTTTTATGCTATTTAGCTGACTACCGGACGGAAATTTTGGCAGTTGTCGGATGATTGCACAGCTTTTATAAGTAAGCCTTGTGTGTGCATAAATGATGCAGGTGCAACGAGAAAAATATTCCACGGAAAACGCAAGCCTCGGGCTTGAGGAAAAAGCCATTCCTAAAAATGGTTTCGTTCAGCTTTGTATGGGAAACCACATGTTGGTGGTATGAAGACGGTATCCACAAAGAAATATATACTGCAAGTGATTTTCTGCCTTTTTCAAAGATTTTTGTAATTCATGTGGAAGCATCCGATTGCTTGAAAGATTTTCACCAAACGTCAAAGTGGTTATCACTTTCAAATTTGATGAAATACTCAAGTTGTTCAAGGTTTGTAAGTGACAAACCCAAGGTATTCTGGGTCGGATAATCTCCCTATTAAAATATCGACATACCTATCTACCCTTCACGTTTTCAACTCGGAAGAGGAAATCAGGTTGACTGGGCAGACTTGTTCATGCATGACCTAGTCGGAACTACAATAGCCGGTGGATTATAAATCAATATGAAAAAGAGCTACATCGATCTATTTTAGAGTCCATGCAAAGTTTTGAGCAAAGCTGCATTGCTCACACCTGTGGTTCTTTTACTGATCAACTGATTAGTGACAGGAATATACATTGGTAAAATTGACTGCTCAAAATCTGTTTAGGACTATCAGCACCATTCGTTTCAGTTTGTCTTTGCGTGTCACACACAATTCCGCTGAGGGATGCTCGCCTTTAAAACACTGAGTTGCCAGATAGTAAGTATAAAAGGTCAAGATGTCAGCTTATTCAAGGGCTTTGCGCATTTGTTTTGTCACATGTTCTAAATGGCTTGCATAATTCTATCAATGTACAGTGATGGTAATCTGTACGAAACTAATTTTCTTCTGAGATGTGAAACTTCCACGTATAGAACATACAGCAGAACGCGTTAATAACAGTCGAGCCAACTCGGATGTTTAAATATCAGACAGCGATAGCCGGCTAAACAACGCCAAATTATTAGTTTTTTAAGGAGATATTTTCCTTCTTATCACAAGTCCAGAAATAAGGATGAATGTTTGTTTCAGAGCCAGCGCATTAAGGGATGGTCTTTCATTATCAAATGGACACACACAAAATTATCAAATGGCATGATCAGAGCAACGTTGTATGTCAATGTACGTGTATTCATTTGTAATACTTTACTTTATATGCATCATATCAAATAGGCCAGTTGTTTTTATAGTCGCAGTTGCTGAACGTACTTGTTGTACGATCCTGTGCTAAGGCCGTCATCTTGAACGTACTTACGATCCTGAGCTAAGGCCGTCATCTCAAAGCAAGGAATAGGTTACTTAGCCTAAACGCACGATCTAGGTGTCCTATCTTATCTGTAACGTGTAGTCTAAATTCACCAACGGACGGTCAGTAGTAATTGCGGTGAAACCGAATTCTAAGAACTTCACCTGTGTTTGTTCAGTAGTCGCAATTGGGCAGTGAACAATATATTGAATTGGACTTGGGCAGACAGTACAGAGAGGTGGACCGTGGTTCTGCAGGAAATTAACAGTAAATCATGAGGAGAGTTAAAGAAAGGCTTACGGCTAGATTGAACCTTGGGCAGTTAGCAACACAG